GTGAGCAAACCCCCGCTCGAGAGGCTGCTGCTCTCGGAGCCGCAGCTGTTGGCACCGTCGGTGCCTGCAGCAGCGGCTGAAAACGCTCTTGGCCGAATCTGTCTGTGACCCGAGAGCCTGGTGTAAACTGTGTAAACGCTTAAAATCTGCCCACGTCCTCGTGAGCTCGGCGACCGGGCCCTGGGCACGTCGGAGAGCGGTATTTCTGTGGGACCTCTTTATGTGGCTTCTTTGTTCTCTTAAACGTGAATGCTTTTCTATGGGATCATCAGTTAGTGAAACAGGGAGGCTGATTTGTGAGGGGGAATATTCCCCCTTTGCTGTAATAGCTGCGTTTACCTTCTTAACAGTGGATCAGATTTTTTTCTAGAGTTACCATATTGGGCTTTATTGCATGTTCCAGCCCTGCTTTGGTAAAAACCTGGTAGATGCTGTGGGCCAGGTTATGATTTGTCCTTGGGTGAGCTGATGGGATGGGGATGCGGCTGGCGCTCCCGCCCGGCTGTGCGGCTGCTCTGACGTACAGGGAACTGCAGAACCACAGGTGTGTGCAGGTGCCCCTCACCAGAGGGATCTGCTGCTTGGGTGCAGTGCAGGACGCTGCACCTCGAGGTGCCTGTTGGTCCTGATGCCAATAAATGCTTTTCCATCTGTTCACTCATTTCAGTTGCGCTATGCGTTAATCTGGCTACACCTGGAGAATTGAGAGTGTTTTTTCTAGGTCACCTAGTTAACGTTTAGTGAGTAATTCACTTTAAGCCACTTCTTTTGCTATTTGAAGTCAGCCTTGGTTGAAACACATTCCGTGTTTGCCATAGCCAGGCCCTGAGGTATAAGATGTGAGTCTGTAGCCTTGCCTGAATTCGGCTGCTTCTCGTGCGGTCGCGGTAGCCAACACACAACCGCCGCTCTGGGTTTGGACGGTGGGTGCTGCTCAGGCTCCCTGTGTGTTTTATTTAGCAGCAAAGCTCGCTTTAGCAAATAGGTGCAAAGCTCGTTTGCACCTATTTGTTACTGCCTGTCTTGTAATGTAGCACTTCCTAAACCACGGTGCTTGGTGTCTTTGTTTCTGCACGGTCCCGTCACTAACAGCCACGCTGCGAGCTGGCCAGGCAGGAGTGTGTGCCGGGAAGGACCGTGAGGCCAACCTGGCTCCTCAGGAAGCCCTGAGCTCCCGCTGCTGCTCTCGGAGAGCCGGGCCGTGCTGCACAGGGACAGGATGTATCCGAAGAGGCCGCTGAGCAGCCGCTCGTGTGTGCGGCTCCGCGTTCCGCCTGCCCGCTCGGAGCTGCCCTGACCGGCACCTCGGTTAAACGAGCGCGAGGCAGAAGCTTGCAGTTGGAATCACGTTGAGGCTTTGCAGCAGATGATGTGAAGGGTGGTGGGTGATTTCTGACAGTCCTGGGGTGGGTGCTGAGCTTGCAGGGCACTGGCCACAGCAGAAGCTTATGGAGCGGGGAGGCTTCCTGAGCTGCTTTACTGGAAGCAGCGCCGCAAAACAGAACCAGTGTCGCTGCTGCCTCTTCTCATTTCTACTCCTCAAGACATTGAGTGATGAGAAGCAGACTTCAGTAGAGGACTCCTAACCTCAATTTTGGGGATGTATTTTTAAGCTCCAAGGTGAATGGACTGTTTATTTCTTTTAATTGCAAGTGGTCTAGCAAAGGATATATATATATTTTAAACAAGTCCAGCATGTGGAAACTACGATCACCTCGTGAATCACTGCATTCATAGAAAGAAAGACCATTCTTCCTCTTCCTCTCTGAAATGGCTTGTTTCTAAGTAGTGGCCCTGCACATTGAGGTTCAGCACAGAGACCCTGTGCTGAACCCTGGGAGCAGCAGCAGATCGCAGTCCCCTGCACCTGCTCTGCCGACGGCGTACGCGCACCCTGCCAGTGCTGGAAAAGTTGGATTTGATTTTGCTGTGTGTAGACGCTTTTTAAAGTTCTTCTAATGCACTTGTGTTCCCCTCTTCCATAGATTCTTTTGACTTGTGAGTGATATTTTAAAAGCAGCTGTAGTTGCTGAACGCTGTAGGTGTGTATAGGGAATAGCCGGTGCTGTTGTGGCCGTTCAGCGCAGATTGCGGGGTGCTCACTCCTCTCTCTCATTTCTCAGGAACTCTTTGCGGAATTTGGGACCTTGAAGAAGGCGGCAGTGCACTATGACAGATCTGGCCGCAGTCTAGGAACAGCAGATGTGCATTTTGAAAGGAAGGCAGACGCTCTGAAAGCTATGAAGCAGTACAACGGAGTCCCCTTGGACGGTGAGTCTGCTTGGCTGCTCCTCGTGACAGCAGGAGGAGTCAGGTCCCCACGTGTCCCCTGCGCGGACTCACCATGTTTTTTCTTTCCAGGGCGCCCCATGAACATTCAGCTGGTTACGTCACAGATAGACACACAGAGGAGACCAGCACAGAGGTGAGATGCTGCACTGCCACACGAGCTCTGTGCCCGGTCAGCATGGGGAGTGGATCTGCGTAGCCTCTCTCTGTGTAGGAAGCATGGATCCATCTTCCATTCTGCAAACTTCTGAGTGGCTGTTTGTGTTAACCAGAATGCACTATAACAGTTGCTTTTTAAAAATCACAGTGTAAACAGAGGTGGCATGACCAGAAACCGTGGTGGTACAGGAGGATTTGGTGGTGGAGGTGGCAACAGGCGAGGTAGTCGTGGTGGGAGCAGAGGGAGAGGCAGAGGAGCTGGAAGAACTTCCAAACAGCAGCTCTCTGCAGAAGAGCTAGATGCACAGCTGGATGCTTACAACGCCAGGGTAAGTGCTGCCCGCGGCGGAGCGGGGCGCCCCGGAGCCTCCCGGGGAGACGCTAACGGCCCGGGGCTGCGGGAAGGGGGTCGCTCCTCGGAGCACGGCACTAAAGGAGCCTCTCTCCAAAGCTGAACGATGACGTGTTTAACTTTCCAAGGGGTTTATCAACTGCTGTTGCTTGCTCACACTTGAGAAATAGCCCATTTTCCAGCTTCACAGCCAATCTGGGACCAATGGAGGCTGGACTTTAGTAGCTGAATTAGCAGTGTATGAGCAACAGCAGCATAACAAAGTGATAGCGATTATAAAAACAAAATAAAAACCATATGTGAAGTAGTGACATTGGATGCCAACGGGGCAAAGGTCAGCCATGATACTCATGGAATACAAGCCCATAAAGGGGAGAGCTGGATGAACAAGGCTTCGTTCAGCCCCGGCTCCGGAGTCTTTGTGCCACAGCAGGGTTGCTGGGCTGCTGGAGCGCTGAGGGGTTTAAAAAGCTGCATGTGGGCTGTGATCTCAGTCTTGCTGCCCTCTGTAGGCGAGGGGCGGAATGGAGGCACAGTGCGGGAGAGGCCAGAAAAATTGGTACGGACCCGTGCTGCCTTTGAGAAGCGTCTGTGAATTAGCGATGTATAAGTAGCAATATTAGCAAAAGACCCCGGGGAAGCAGCGAGCGTGTGGGAGCCTGTGGTCCAGTGTGAGCACCTCAAAGCGCCGTCACGCAGCTCTGAGCAGCTGGAGTCACTG